TTATGAATAAACAGTTGAAATAGCTAAAAATAATGGATAAACGGTTGAACTAGGTAGGTGAATGTAATACATTTTTAAAATAGCTAAAAGGTATGAAATAATATCTGAAATAGTAATGGATAAACAGTTGAAAAAGTTAGCTAAAGGTAATGGATAAACTAATGAAATAATTGGCTAAAAGTTATGGATTAATAGTTGAAATAGTTAGCTAAAGACAATGGATAAACTACTGAAATATAGTTAGCTGAAAGTAATGGATTAACAGTTGAAATAGTTAGGTAAAGGTAATGGATAAACTATTGAAATATAGTTAGCTTAAACTAATGGATAATCTATTGAAATAGGTAAAGGTAATGGATAAACTATTGAAATATAGTTATCTTAAACTAAAGGATAAACTACTGAAATAGTTAGCTAAAGGTAATGGATAAACTGTTGAAATATAGTTAGCTTAAACTAATGGATAATTTATTGAAATAGTTAGCTAAAGACAATGGATAAACTACTGAAATATAGTTAGCTGAAAGTAATGGATTAACAGTTGAAAAAAATAGCTATGGGTAAAGGATAAACTTATGAAATAGCTAAAACTAATTGATAAACTATTGGAATAGTTAGCTAAAGGTTGCAGTTAAACAGTTGAAATAGTTAGCCAAAGGTAAAGGATAAACAGTTGAAATAGTTAGGTAAAGGTAATGGATAAACTATTGAAATATAGTTGGCTTAAACTAATGGATAATCTATTGAAATATTTAGCTAAAAGGTAATGGATAAACTATTGAAATATAGTTAGCTTAAACTAACAGATAAACTATCGAAATAGGTAAAGGTAATGGATAAACTATTGAAATATAGTTATCTTAAACTAAAGGATAAACTATTGAAATAGTTAGCTAAAGGTAATGGATAAACTGTTGAAATATAGTTAGCTTAAACTAATGGATAATTTATTGAAATAGTTAGCTAAAGACAATGGATAAACTACTGAAATATAGTTAGCTGAAAGTAATGGATTAACAGTTGAAAAAAATAGCTATGGGTAAAGGATAAACTTATGAAATAGCTAAAACTAATTGATAAACTATTGGAATAGTTAGCTAAAGGTTGCAGTTAAACAGTTGAAATAGTTAGCCAAAGGTAAAGGATAAACAGTTGAAATAGTTAGGTAAAGGTAATGGATAAACTATTGAAATATAGTTGGCTTAAACTAATGGATAATCTATTGAAATATTTAGCTAAAGGTAATGGATAAACTATTGAAATATAGTTAGCTTAAACTAACAGATAAACTATTGAAATAGGTAAAGGTAATGGATAAACTATTGAAATATAGTTATCTTAAACTAAAGGATAAACTATTGAAATAGTTAGCTAAAGGTAATGGATAAACTGTTGAAATATAGTTAGCTTAAACTGATGGATAATCTATTGAAATAGTTAGCTAAAGACAATGGATAAACTATTGAAATATAGTTATCTTAAACTAACGGATAAACTATTGAAATAGTTAGGTAAAGGTAATGGATAAATAGTTGAAATAGTTAGCTAATGGTAAAAGAGAAACTATTGAATCGGGTAGCTAAAAGTTATGGATTAATAGTTGAAATAGTGAAAGGTAATGGATTAGCTGTTGAAAGATAGTTAAAAGTGAATAAATGGTTAGCTAAAGGTAATGGATAAACTATTAAAATAATTAACTAAAAGTTACTGATTAACAGTTGAAACAATTAGCTAAAGTTAATGGATAAACAGTTGAAATAGTTCTTTAAAAGTAACGTATTAACACGTGCAATAGTTGGTGAGAGATAAGCGGTTAAAATGAATGGATAAATAGTTAAAAATAGTTAGCTAGAAGCATACAGTATTTCAAGCTTTTGAAATACTGTAAGCTTTAAGTAATGGAGAAATGGTTTAAATAAAACGGCGTCTGTGAAGGGGCACCTGATTTATCTGACAAGGGAGAATAAATGACAAATGGGGTTGGGAACTACTGACCCTAAGACACATCTCATAACTTAACTCATCTGAACTAACATACAAACATAAAACTACAGAGTATAAATAAAACCAAACTTTTTTTTACTGGACCTCTTTATTGCACAAGCTGTGATTGATTTGTGATGCAACTGCAAAACCTCTGTCACCAGTCATTTGACATCAGCTCAGTGTGCTTGCATGCAAACCCATACAGATACACAGACACACACACGGAGGACTGACCATTGTTGGAGCGTAGTGATCTGGCGGAGATGCCGTTCGTCCCTATAGGATGATGAACTCCGGTTCCATCCACCATTCCCGCCTCCCCTGGCTGCTTCATAAGCTCTGTCAGAGTCCTGGAGGGAGGAAGAAAAACATACACACTTTATTTAATCCCCCTGCATAAAAAGAATACCGAAGAGTAAACAAAAATCAAAAGTGTCCGGACAAAGAGAAAGAGAAAAGAGAGTGTTAGGTAAATGAGAGATCTCGTGAGACAAAGAGGACTGAAGGGAGAGTTGGAGAGATGTGACAGGAAAGAGTTGGGACAGTTAGAAAGATGATAAAAGAAAGAAAAGAGAAACACATGTTCATGTGGACAAAATATGAAAATCCATTATTAAAAGTATCCAAACAGCCTTTATGTTAATAGCTCTACCTGAGGATAAAGACACGTTTGAAACAGATTGTTCATGTCTATAAAAACAAACCTAAACAGCAAATGCTCAGAATTAAATTCAAGAAAGTGGAACTGAGGATGAAAAGGATGAGTCTCTGGATGTTTGCCAACTGGGAGCATCAATCATTTATTTAAAAAAATGAAATAAAAAAACCTTCCCCTCTTGCCATCTTTTATTGTTTGATGCCTTTGAACAAGTTCTGATGCCTTCTCAAAACTGGAACACAGGCAGGAAACAGCCTTCCAACATGCAGATTTAACTCTTTGAGAGCACACAGAACCTGCAGCTGTAAACAAGGACTTCTTCTGGGTTTTTATATCAGACTGAAGGTAGCTGATTTAAATTTAAGTGAAAGCATTTTCTAATCTGTGCAAGATGAAAGAGGAAAAGGTGTTTTTATGCCTTCATGCTGGTGATAGCTGTGGCCACAGGCATTTCTCAGGTTGTCTGTCAGCCTGTCCTTTGCATTCTTGTGACCATTATATCTCAAGAAGTCCTTGAGGGAGTTTCTTCAAATTTGGCACAAATGTTCAGTTGGGTATAGACTGATTAGTCTTTGGTGGTCTTTGGTGGTCAAGGTCACCATGACCTCTTCTGTCTCATTCTCATGAGTGTGATAACCTGAGAATTCCTAAGGGGAATTTTATTCGGCACAAACATCTACTTTGGCTCAAGGATGAAATGATTCAAATTTAGTGGTCTACGGTCAAGGTCACCATGAACTTGCATCAATGTCAGTCTTGTGAAGGGGATATCTCCAGAACGTCTTTAGGGAATTTCTTCAAATATGGAACAAACATTCTCTTTAAGTCAAGGATGAACTGTTTAGAATTTGGTAGTCAAAGGTCAATGTCACTGTGGCCTCGTCCGTTGCATTTTTAGGATGCAGTATCTCAAGAGCACCTTGTGGGAGTTTTTTGAAATTTGGCGTAAATGTCCACTTGGACATTACAATAAACGAATTAGTTTTGGGTGGTAATAGGTAAAGGTCACCATGACCACTTCTGTCTCATTCTCATAAATGCAATATCTTGAGAACTCCTTAAGGGATTTATTTTTTCAAATATGCCACAAATGTCCACTCGGGGCTCAAGGATGAGCTCATTAGATTTTAGTGTACAAATGTCAAAATCACTGTGACCATGCACCCATCTCAGTGTCTTGAAGAGGATATCTCCAGAACAACTTAAAGGGGTTTCTTCAAATTTGGCACAAACATTCACTTCAAGGAGGGACTGATTAGAATTTGGTAGTCAAAGCTCAAATGAAAGGTCACTGTAACCTTGTCCGTCGCATTCTTGTGAATCAGTACAGTATCTCAGTACAGTATCTCCAGAACACCTTGAGAGAATTTCTTCAAATTTGGGATAAAGATTCACTTTGAGTCAAGGATGAACTGATTAGAATTTGGTGGTCTAAGGTCAAATGTCAAGGTCACTGTGACCTCATCTGTCACATTCTTGTGAACACAGTATCTCAAGCACACCTGGAGGCATACAACTACGGGGCAATAATTTCAGATTATACGAGTGGTGGTTTCACGTTATGGCAATAATGCTGATTTGTCAAATGTGTCTCATTCAAAGCTGCATCACTGTTATATGTGTGACTGCAGTTTAATTACTCCAGTAAACAACCCTGGTGAAAACCAAAGGATGTTATTTCCCTTTTAGATTGTCAGCAACCAAATTTTCTCCTGACACTCTTTGTTTTTTAATAATGTAATAAAAAATAAATCAACCCGTCTGTTCATCTGAAAAGTTCTATTCTATTTCCAGCTCTTTGACCTCTTTAATTGGTTTTATAAACTTTCCAGTATTTGCTCACATTAACAAGGACTGAAAACAAGAGAACGCTCAACATCAACATGCCGCCGTTGACAAGGAAATTATAGCGACACAGTCAACAAATCAGCTGTGACCAGAGAGCTGCTATCAAGAGACCCATAAATATTTCCTCACTGTTAATCTCACTGTTGAAACCCTTAACACAGCCTTCTAAAATGCAGCAGAGCAATTGTCTTTTTATTAGCCTGCTGTGAAATGATTGCCTGTGGTCACGGGAGCAGTAAGCATCAAAACATGAACACATGCACTATATAATGCAATTCAACGCAGTAGACTTGCAATACGTGCTAAGTATAGGTAGCATTCTGAAGGTCATTATGCTTCTTTTGTGTGTGTGTGTGTGTGTGTGTGTAATTTGTGCCCAAATAAAGAGATAAAATAGCATGAAAACTAAATGGAAATTTGTTTACTTCAGGTCATGATATACAATATCATACTGACATATTCCCATGCCTGTGACTACATCATAGCATTACAAATAATATCACGGTATAACATGTAATTAATCAAAGGGGCACGTCAGCAATTTTACACATGAAAATCAGTTTACCCATCATATTAGGATTATGAATCAAACCATGAAAACAGTTGTACAGTGTGTTCTTTGGCTCGGTTTAAGCTTGTACACTGGACCGGACCCGCAAAACCGGAAGTGGACCCAACTCTACTGGGTAGCCTTGTACTGAATTGATCAACGTCTTTTCCATATAAAGCCTAGACTGATATTTATTGAGGAAAAGGAAGGTATCTGCCAGCTCTGAATAGCTGTTCCTCGTTACATGACATGCAAGCATGCTGCTGTGTTCCAAAAGTTGACCTTTGTTTATCTAAGAGCGCAGCCGTCACGCCGTGCTTAGGAATGCTTGCATGCGCGACAGTGTTGCTCTCACTTTCCAGCACGCCTTCTGTTCATCCACATTGAAAACAAAGGATTTAAGGGCACAAAAACTGCAGCATTTGTTTGGGGCCCTAAAGCTGTTGAGAGACTGCACTGCACAGTTCAGCACCAAATCAGAAGTATCAGGCAGGAAAAAAATCTAAAATTAGATTGGCATTTCTTTCCTTTCCCTTGACACTTTTCTCACAGCTAAGGTGCCATTAAGCAATCCTCAGCTGCTCCAGTGGAGCTGCACAGCAACCAGCAGTTGTCTGTGGTTGTACTGGCCAGCTCCCTGGTGTGAATGTGAAAAATGCCCCACTCAGCAAAACCCTCCCCTGGATAAATTAACATCAGGGAAAAAGTTTGTTTGATATTACGCCCTTCTTGAGATGACAAGTCATCTCTTATGGTACATGTTGGATAAATATTCGCCATTCATATATATATATATATATTTGTAATTGAATATTATGCTTAAAACTCAGGATGCACCGATTGTGAGATTCTGGGCTGATACCGACAGCAATGTTTAAAAAAATTTCACAAATGGCCAATACAGATTTTTGTTGTTGTTGTTGTTGTTGTTTAATTTGTTTTTGATGTCATTTAATAATTATGATATAATAATAATAATAATATTTATTTGTATGGCACTTATCTAAACGAGGTTACAAAGTGCACAGAACAAAAGGAAATAAAACAATCCACAATTTCTAAGCAACGATTTGTCCCAGTTAAAATACGAGCTGCAGCACTCTGTACTAGCTGAAGCTGAGCTACTGAAAATCTACTGAGGCATGTAAACAGTGCATTACAGAAGTCGAGATGCAAAAATACAAACACATGATGATTTGATTTGGATAATAATAATAATAATAGGTTGAAGTAGCAGGATTTAATGAGATTAATGACGTGGTTCAAAGTACACTTGAGAATCAAAAGTGATGCCTAAATTTCACACTGTAGATTTTTGTATTAGTTACCAGAGGACCAATAAAGAGTTCTAATTTGCTTTCTAATTTCTAATTTGCTGGGTGATCAGGGCCAAAGATTATTACTTCTGTCTTGTCTGAGTTTAGCTGCAGAAAATTACAAGCCATCCAGTTTTTAACAGCAGTGAAGCACTCCATTGAAGTGCTCAGACAGTTGACATAATGCGTCCTAATGGAAGCATATGAAGTGAAAACAAAACAGGACCAAGAATAGATCCCTGTGGCACCCCACACGTCAGCAGAGCTGAAGATGAAACAAAATAACCAAAGGACACAGAAAAGTCTCCACCTGAGAGATATGATTCAAACCATTTAAGAGCAGTTCCAGATATAACTACACACCGATTTAGTCTATTGATGAGAACGCTATCAATGACAGTGTCAAACGCTGTAAAATAGAACATTCCCAAGCATCCCCCTTTTATGTCAGGGGAACAAAGTAATAATTAATATATAAATAACTGAACTGAAGACATTTTGTCCTTCATTATCCTACCTTTGATCATACACATTTATGAAACAACCTTTAAAATAAGCTTCTTTTACATGGAATATATATATATATATATATATATATATATATATGTCAGAATTGCCTCTCTAATAGCCTATCTATTTTATTTTGCTGTGAAAATATCAACATATTTCTCCTTCAGACAACAGTATTTATTAAAGTTTCTTGCCAAAAATTACATTTATAGACTACATTTGAACACATCATGCAAATATTATAATTAACCATCGCCCAATGCAGAGCAGAGCGTAAACACATCATAGTATAACTCAGTGCAACCTCTATAAACAATCCTGGCCACCAGCTGTTAACCACTAACGTTAAATAGCTCTCCTCCTGCACGTCATCTGATGTGTCAATAGTGAATTTACTGCATCCTTTAGTCCCAAAAGCATTCCAGAGAAGATCTCTATTCGACCCAGACATGTTTTCTATCATGTTTA